GTCGATACAATTTTAAAACTCATATTTAAATCTAAGGTGTGCACACAAACACAATATAAAACATTAAATACATAAATTTAAGTGATCTGTGACATGAACAAATTTAACCCGCGAAATTACTGTAAATTTTGAGGTTATATGGAATAATACAACAGTGTTGCGATATCATCAGAGCGCAATTTCCCTGAGAAGATATAGTATACAAATTTTTCCCATAATCTTCTTGAATGTACACTATATTTGTACAGGGTGTTCAGTTATTTTTAGAACGGCACCTAAAACGTTTATTAAAAGAGATAAAATAAATTGTTAAATACATAAGTTATAAGGCTTTACTAGAAATTACTATTAAGATAAACAAACGGTAACCAAAAAGGTAACTAACAAGTATCAACTTTGTGAATTAAAATGGAAACCCTATATATTTTTTACTATGACGATTCCAAATATATTGTACCTTAATATTTTATTAAGCCGTTTTACGCTATTCAAGATTAAAATTGCTTTAAATTTACATTACCTTGATCTAGGTTGATGGATGACATATTTGTAATTAAAGATAAATTTGATTTTACCCCCTGACATTGGCCTTACTGAACAACTCAAAAACTCTAGAATAAGTAGAGAAATGGCTGATCTGGCAACAATGTAAATAAATAACTTTATGGTGGCAAACACTAGGTGACTGCCATGTAACCGCCACTTTGAAGTGGTGAAAAATATTTTGGATTAGTTCCAGCTACCTTTTATTTGATGAAAGTAACTACAAAGTGGCATATTCTAGTTTCTGCAACTTTAAAGGTTTTTTTTTTCCTGAAGCAGACATATTTGTAACCATATTTAAGATCGCTATTATGTGAAAATATAAAGGTGCTATTTAAAAAAAAAAAATTCATCCGTATAGCTTCAATGCAATAAAATTCAAATATATTTAATGATTTTAATTAACCAAGATTGATAAAAAATACTGTTTAAGGCATCTAAATAAATAAATAATTTCGAAGATGAAAAATTTACAAATTTTAACTTTTTAATTAAATATAGAGTATTCCAAAGGCGCGTGCCCATATTTCGAGCTGTTTATTTGAAGTTCTAGTTTTTTTGACGTTCATTTTTGATACCTCAGAGACCATCAGAGTCAGTTATTAAATATTGAATTATAGGTACCTAGTTAAGTTTTTTTTTGTTACTTCTAATAAAAAGCATTTGTTTAAGTTTTTTTTTATTTTGGCATAATGCGGTTCGTAGAAAAAGTATAGTGTTTAATTTTCAAAAAAAAAATAAAATGATTGTCGTCACTTGTCAAACAATATATTTTTTCCTTCAAAAATTATTTACCATCCGTTTCACTTTCAAAAATAATTAATTATCGTTGCCCAATATACAAAAATACGTTACACCACTGATATTAATATACATCTATTCCCTCGTGGTTTTATTACGTGTATTTAATTAAATACCCATTCGATAATATGATAAATTATTATTTATTTACAATATCTATACAGTTTTATATTAACAAAACAAATATTATTTACGTTCTAGATATATTTCAAACAATATTTTTACATTTTCTTATTACCATCCTTTAAAGATTTTTTACTATATATAGCACATTTTCTTTAAAATTAAATTGCAAGTAGCGAATTAAACCATAACACCCCGTATCTTAAGTACCTGTTACATCGAATCACTAATATTCAAACTTACCCAAATATAAACACACCTCCTTAAAAGCAGCCAATAACCAAAAAATATGTCACATTCTAACACCGAAAATTGTATATCAAAATATATTTTCAAATTTTATATATCAAACTTATCACAATCCGATTTTGATATTACGATTCCACAATTTTTTTAACGAAGTTTTTTATTTTCACCACCGTTTGCCGACATATTTTACGTCAAGGATATATTGCCGCCATTTTGTTGGGAGATAAGGAGTAAGGACAACGATCCGCAGGATACGAAAAGGATCAATGGGAGTCATGTGCGGGGACGTCGTTGGAGCAGAGGGGTTAAGATTATGAGATCGTTTTTGTTGAAGAAATTGTTGATATTTTTATGAAATTGTATAAAACAAATAAAAGAAGGAATTAATATTATAAAAATTACAAAAAAGGTGTAGATTTGTTGTAAAAAAATTATAAATGATTAAAAATAAACTACAAAAATTATATTGAAAATTTTATAACTTTATTTTATAGACAATCAAATGCTCTTAATTTAAAAAGTTTCCATGAAAATCAGAACATTTTTTTATACACGAAATTACAGTGGGAATTTTTTTGACATATGAGAGACGCTTCTAATTTAGGAAACTAAAATAATAATTGGATTTTTCGCGTGGACTAAAAGAAATCAAATTATGTCAAAACGCATAACTAGCATGGCCAACTTTTCAAATTTGATTTTCGCATTTTAATTCATGTCCATCATGTTTTGAAATTTCGTTGTAAAATTTTCTTAACGCATGTCCTACATGCCTGAATTATTATGCGAAAATGTTTGCTCACTCATGAATATTTAAAAAAAAATTAGACACTATAAAAATCTGGGGAACATTTTGGAATTTAAGAATTGTGAGGATTTGTCATACACTTATTTAGTGGCATTTCAGTGTTGCCGGTTTAGTTATTAGTGGTAATAATTGCTTGAAGTACCCCTTATATCAGTCATACTCAACCTTTTTTTTCCTTTGGGCTACATACGTATGTTTTCTATGTTACATGGGCCACAATATTTTTGGACCCTTTATTTAGGCCATTTATTTAAAATTAGTTAGTAGAAATCTCTAATAAATTAAACACAAAACATAAATATATAATTAGTCTTCACAAAGTATAAACTAAGAAGATTTGTAACAAAAAAAAAAGAGAAAAAAACGTCATTTCAATGTCGCTGTCAATATCTTCTATGGAAGGTTCAGGTACTGTGTCTTTAACATTTTTGTGTGTGTGTGTGTGTGTGTGTGTGTGTGTATGTGTGTGTGTGTGTGTGTGTGCGTGGGTGCGTGCGTGCGTGCGTGCGTGTGTGTGTGTGTGTGTGTGTGTGTGTGTCTGTATAACGCATAACTCATGAACCGATACACAGAAAAACACCAAATTTTAAACTTAAGCTTTGTTTCAGCGTCCAATGAGCTGATTAGATTTTGGGCAGAGTCGGAACATCTGGGGGAGTACTTTATGGGTGGTTATTTTTATATTTTATAGAATATATCTGGTATTTACGTTTGGAGAAGAAAATTCTTCAAATAAAAGTTACTTTTAATATAATTATCTATAATTTTTGTTCTATACAAAATTTTCCTTAAATGGTCCGTATTCGAGAAATTTGACAAAATGTAAAAAAAATATTTTTTATAAAAATTGTTCAAATAAAAGTTGTTTGTAATATAATTCTCTATAATTTTTGTCCTATACATAATTTCTCTAAAATGGACCGTATTCGAGATATTTGAGAAAAAGTGTAAATTTCGAAATTTGAAGAAAACTCAAAAACGGATAAAGGAAAAAACATTAAATTTTAAACTTAAGGTTTATTTCGGCCTGACGTGAAATGATTAGATTTTGGACAAAGTCGGAACATCTGGGGGGGTACTTTATGGGAGGCAGTTTTTATATTTTATGGAATATATCTGTTATTTATGTTTGGAGAAGAAAATTGTTCAAATAAAAGTTACTTCTAATATTATTATCTATAATTTTTGCTTCATGTCAAAATTTCCTGAAATGGTCCGTATTCGAGAAATTTGACAAAATGTGCAAAATTCTGATTTTTATGAAAATTGTTGAACTAAAACTTGTTTGCGATATCGATTTCTATAATTATTGTTTATACATGATTTTTCTAAAATGGACCGTAATGGAAAAGTGATAAATTTAAATTTTTCAGTATTTTCATTTTCAATGAATATCTATAGAAAAATGTTTCGAGGTAAATGTATATATTTAGTTTATCCTCTAAACATTTATAGAGATGCTGCAATAGGTTGTACAAAATAACCGGAAAATGCCTATAATAACTAGATAGGAAAGTCATGTGTTGGACACATCAGATTTTTATTACTGTGTGCCCGACCGCGTTGTAACGTTGGCTGTCTCGTATAAAGTAGCACACCGCTAATATGTTTTCTTTTAGCATTAATGCTAACTTTCTGTAGTTTTCGTGCAAAGCGCATTGGAAATCGTTCGATTGCCGATACTGTATACGATTTTATAACGAAAATGGTCGCGAGAGTGTTTCGAGTTTATAAGGAGTTATTTTCTAATTGCCAAGTCCCAAAATCACCAAACATTTGCAAATATTTAAAGTCTACTTCGCGAAAATGGTACGATTTGAATCAAGGAATATGGATCGAGGGCTAACGCGTACGGCAAGACTTGTAGAAGTTGAGGAACAAATATTAAATGACAGTATTAAAAGTGTTGTTCATGAAGTTTTAAAAGAAAAATTAATGTTATATTAGGCAGCTGCAAAACTTTTACCCGTGGATTCTTAAATGCGTGTAGTGATTTGTAATTGTATTCAAAATGAGAGACGTGAAAAATTCCAGACATTTACTGACGAAGCTTCATTCACTAGATATTACTATTCCCCTAATCTATGGATATAACTTAACGAATGAAAAATCCATCTAGCGGCGGTTAGATGAAGCAGCAATTACAGCGTTCACGTAAACGGCCTTCTCACTCTTACTCTCATATCGTTGTATTCTCTCCCTTTAACAAATTGATTTTACTATGCTGATAATAATGTTAATGTTCTCTTTGATGACTTAATAATATGACTCTGATGACTTGCTTTAGTCTAAATTTAGCTTCAGTCACAGAATGGCTACAAATTATTGATCAAAATTCTCAATTTCTTTTTATGCATTTGGATTATTATGAAATAAAAACACATAAATAATATAGACTTATATTTTTACAAAAATAGATACCTAAATAAATATATTTAATAATTGTTTTTTTCTTAATTTAATTTACAAATTTAGTTTATTTCTTTTTAACTTTCTCCTCTGGGATCGTTAAATCCCATATTCCTAAAAAAAACAAATTTTAAAAGACAAACTATTTAAAAGAGGACAAAGACCAACCTTCAAAAGTGTCTTCAGGAGGATTATATTTATATCTATGATTAGAACATTCGTCAATTCTTTTTTGTAACTCTTTGGGAGACAGTTTCATAGCTCCGTAAAACTGAAAAACAACAGAAAGTTATGTACAACTGTCAAATTTCTGTCAAACAAATGTCGAAATGGATACAATTGTTTTTACAAGAGCTTAGAATAGAGCAGGAGTGGAGTTTTAATCAAGTAGGTTAACTGTCACTTTAAACTGTCATTTATGTGTCACCAACCGGAATATGTGAAGCTACAAGAGTCTTTAGGAATCAAAATAGTAAAATGAGTGTCTAAAATAGTAAAATTGAACATTTTGTCAAAATAGTTGTCATTTGTCAGTGCAGACTTATGTCAAATACGTCAAGTTTTTAATTCCAGTGTTGCCATCGTGGCAACATTTTCTCCATTTCTGTTGCTTTTCTATTCATTCCTGAGAAGTTATAAACTAGATTGGGACAAGTCTTAAACCTGGAGAAGAACATTAGGTTGCATCGAAGAATTGTTTTTCGAATTTGTATGATAAGTCAGATAGATTCACATATTTTATTGGGATGTTTGATAATTTTTTAAATCACCCAAAGGTATATATTAAAGAGACTAAAGATGCTGAGGGAACAATAGATGACATTCATATTGATGAGTGATTATTAGAATAGAAGTTTTTTTTTGTTAAATTAAAAAATTTAACATTACTTTTCTAATATTCTTTTATTTTATTGATAAATGTATTAGTGTTTTTTATCATTTTGTTCATTTTCTAAAGAAAACAATCCTAAAGTGGGTTCTATTTACTTTTTATGGTTTAAAAATTCTTTTTATTCATAAAAAAAGTTGTAAAATGTCTTTTCATGATTTTGGAGAATTTTTATATTGATATATGAGAATTATAAAGTTAGGCTATTGGCAACATTGTTTAATTTACACTTACAATACAAAAATAACTTACATATCTACACTTATCACAAGAAAACCCTTTCAACATTTTCTTAGCTTTGCCTCTCAACCCCGGTTCTACCAATGATTCACATGGTTTAAATTTCTTATTTGGTGAGCCTTGTACAGGACTTTCTTCATCGAACAGAATTCCTTTGGAAAATTCATCAACATCTTGTGCAGAATCCATTTCATCTTCCACACTATTGTCATTTTGAACAGGATTTTCATTTTCGTCTTTGTTTATGTAGCTTAGAAGCCTGGTTATACCTAGTTCTGTGGTGTCTTCTTTGAGATATGTTGTATTGTTGCTGTTGGTTTGATTTTCATCAAATTCTGATTGATTACTGATAAAAATACAAAAAAAAATGGTTATAGAATTGGTGATTATTTACTTTACCGACCCCAGCAAGAAATAAAAAAATAATCAAAAACTTCCCTTACTTTTTAGTACTTTTAGAAATATCTGAAAACATCTGGGTCAAAGTAGATTTCTTTTTTATTTTCTTTGATAAGAAACCATTATTACTAGTACGTTTTTTTACTTTGACTTCTGGCGTACATTCCACCAACATCGAATTTTCTTTATCTACTTCCTTAAATATGTTTTTCTTTAAATCACCATAGATTTTCTTTGTCTGCCTCTTAGATTTATTTTTCCTCTTAGATACTAAAGTTGGACTGTTTTCCAAATTTGTAGCATCCACATCCGATAAAGTAATGTCTATAACTTCAGAATTTGAAGATTTATTACTAGTAGAACTGTTCGCAAATATATCGGGAGTATCTAAATCACTATTTTGCAAAGATATGTTGGTGTCTAACTCAGTTATATCATCATTTAAGTTTGAATTTTGAACACAATCATTTTCAGCTGGTCTAAAATTTACTATATATCAGTATTACATCCAAGATAAATAAACAATTATTAGTAACTTACAGAGATTTAACTTTTTCTTCAATTTCATCTTTCCGTTTTAATTGCTCTCTTAAAATCGAAAATTCTTTTTCAAAACTCTGTTGTACATCTAAAATTAATAAAAGAATAAATAAATCTACTGTAGTTGCATGATAAAAACGGTATAAAATACTTTTTATTTCAATTTGGAAAGCCGTTATCAACATGGCAGCCTTTTGAAGCTCTTTTCTTTCATTTCTGTATGAATCTAATAATGTAGTATCGAAAATGTCGGTCCAAAATTTAAAAGCTTCCGTTTCCATGATTTTTAGAGATAATAAAATGTTATATTTTTAAAATAATCACTAAAAACCACTTTTTATCGTAAGTAAACATAAATCAACATCACAAAAGTGACACTGACAGAAATGTCAGTAATCCTAACCTATAATCTTCTATTTTATAATAATTTAACAAGTTAGTAACCGCATAATCGTATAAATAAGGCCAAGTAAACGTAAAACTGGTTGCACAATCGAAAATTGCCTAAATTTGTACTGTTAGTGTCAAATTCACCGGGAAAATATTGATTTTAATTTGTGTATTAACCATTTCATAATTTAAACAAGAAAACATGTTATTTAAAGTCACTATTTTGCTTATCTCCAACGTTTACGTTGCCAATGCCGCCCTATTTATGTGGAGCAATCACGAAATAAAAGTTTCGCCGTTCGAAAATTTTAAAACCACAGATTTTTTAAACATCGTAGAAAAGTTAGACAAACCCGATGTATTCGTATTCAAGAGCCCAAATCCTGTGACTAACAATATTATGTCTGTTGTTAAAGGATTTTATTCCATGTACAGCCCAAATGGAGACATTGAAATGGAAAATTTCGTAGGTTAGTAGCAAATTTCGATACACAAATCGTTTGGTAAATATGTATTTTTAATTGTTATTATTAAATAGAGTGTTCGATCTTTGATTGTGCTAAAATATTTGATTTTTATTACAATATTGTAAAATAATATAGGCAACATGTTAAACAAATTGGTGTATAAAATGTTGCCTACCACTCTGTTATGTTAATTCAGAAATAGTTCAAATAGATTTGGGAGTTCCACAAGGGTCAGTTTTAGACCCGGTGCTTTTTATTGCATATATTAATGAAATTAGTCATATCCTGCCAAATATAAAACTAACAATGTACGCGATTGACACATTGCTAATAATATCTAATAATAATTCTATGTTAAAAGAAAATTGTGAAAGCACTTTTGATATAAGTTCCAACGATACTCTTTGTCTTTTAACTAATAACAATTATTTAGCTCTTAATATTTACACTTAAATCTTGGTTACTTATCTTTATTTTCCTCTTCTTTTTCATTTTTCTTTTCCTATTCATCTAAATCGTTTTAGGCATTGTAAATAAATATCCCAGCTATTTTCATCATTATGACCACTGTCTTTTCGATTGTGATTTCTTTCGGGTCATCTTTTTAAAATACGACATACCTATATTTTTCTTTCAGCTATACTGGTTAAAAAATTATTGCGTTTTTCCTTCAGTTTTTGATGTATTTGTCGAATCGGTAGCGTAGGTGTCTAATGCGCTCGCATTCATTTGTGAACAATTTTGTGGTTGGGAGACATAGGGGCTTCAAATCATACAGAAGACCATGTGAATTTATTTGCATGGTTCTCTATGTGATTTGATGAATGCCGATTTAGCAGAAATTTAATTTCTATTGATATGAAATTCAGATTATGAAAATCGCCATGCTTTACCGTTTCCTCACCTGTAAGTCAAATTGCACCATCAATCTTTAAGTCGCCCCGGAGCGCCACGGCAAATAATAATAACAGTCGTCCCTTCCCCGGACAAGCTTAGCTTTTGGGGTTAAATTCACTCATAATGGGGTAAATTAAGAAGAACTTATTATTATTAACTTTAGCGCAAAAATGCTATAATTTCGAGACAGAGCTAGAGGAAAAAAGTATTGGAATAATAGACGGAACATGTTTTTTGAAAAATATATAAAAATATTTAAAAAAAAACGTATATTTTTAAATTCGAACTAATTTAAAAATATAAAGCACAAATCTACGAACTATTTAAGATTAACAGACTACAGTTTAAGTTTGTCTCTGCATGCCTGCATAAATAAACTAATAAAAGTGTAGTAATAGAGATTAATCAATTAATTTATAGCAAATTAAAACATATTGCCTATCATCTTAACCCATGTACACTCGTGTTTTGATATTGAATTGTTTTTCTTCGCCAATTATTGACTAGAAACTCTATGCAATATACAATTATTTAACAGACATTTCTTTTGATTGTCCTTTTACAGAACGTTTTTGTTCTCAGATCTCGCCGGCAACCCCGAAGAAGACCTGCATATCATAAAAGAAACTATCGGTAACTCGATTAACTTCATATCAACCATCATCATTCCAAATCAAGAAGCAATCCGTTCAAAACGAGATACCGAAAACCAAGAGCTCGATTTCGACGATATAGAAAGAGCAACCGCCTTCCCATCACCGTCACCGCAAGAACCAGTGATATACAGAGGATTCAAACTGACCAAAACTAGCGAAACTTCCTACGCTTTACTGTACTCATCCAAACCTCTTCTGTTCAGAAGAAATAGTTCCGATGCCATGGATGTGTATCTGGGAAACGTGGAGGACGATATGATCCAGTATGATAATCGGTTGAACGTTAATATACCGAACGGACGGGGGAAGATAACCTTGAGGTTCAACTTTACTTGGCAGAACGGTTATTGGTACATGCCTTCAGTGAAGATACAGGATTACCAGAATAAAGCTGATTATAATTTGATTACTAAAGACGACGTGGTGGCTCCAGCCAGGTTTTCATACCACTGCAACGGGGAGACTAAATTTTCAGACTCCAACGGCGTAGAGTTGATCATCTACGACTTGCAAGTTCAAACTGAATCGAAGAACGGTAAATTTGGCGACGCAAACGATTGTGTACCGTTCACGACGGCTCCGATATGTTCCGGAATTTTCATTACTGTACTATTAGGTATCGGTATGGTGATATCGTTGATATCCATCATGGATATCAAGACAATGGATAAGTTCGATAATTATAAGACCAAAAATTTGGCGATTACCGTTAGCGATTAAGAAGAATGTTGATGTTGTTTCGGTGTATTCCCGCTTATGAATTTGTCTCTTTCTCTCTCACTCTGCCCTGTGAATGCATATCATGACAAACCGTGATTTTTTGTCTGTGATTTTTTAGGTGTTTATTCAGATATAAAGTTCTCTACGTGTGAAATTGTTGTTTTATTGTTCCCAACAAACGAGACAAATTGTCATAAGTGTGTCGTCACGGCTTGTGTTGACATATGACATAACATAACTGTCATTATTGTCAAAAAAACACATTGTTTTTGACTGGAAATGAAGGCGTAAGACAAATAAAAACTACTATTATAAAAAACTAAAACGTATATTTATTTTGCATTGTTGTTGCTTACAAAAAAATAACAATAAATAATAAAAAAATGAAAACGATGATAAGGATGATGATAACAAACACGAAGAGATGAAAGGTAGGTACTTATTCATTTAAAAATATTGACAATACGAAGGGATCATCAGCTGCGGGACACCATTCGCCAGTGGTTTTTGCCATTTTGGACAAACGGTTATACTGAAACAATAATTCAAATCATTTAAGATCATGTCATTATGACGGCGTATTCTTGACACAAAAAACAAACTATTTTATTTTGAAAAGTTTTAAAATTTTGAGAAAAAACTAAGAATCGTTAAAACTCAAAATTTTAAGAAAACAAACGCCAATATTTAAAAAAAAAGTCAAAATTTTGGAAAAGTAAGAGAACGTATAAAGGGAAAATCTTAAGATAACGGAAGTCAAAATTAAAAAAAGGTCAAAATTTTGAGGAAAGTCATAATTTTGAGAAAAAGTAAGAAAACGTAGAAAATCCAAATTTTAAGAAAACAAACGCCATTATTTGAAAAAAAGTTAAAATTTTGAGAAAAAATTTAAAATTTTAAGAAAATAAAGTTAACATTTTAAAAAGAGTAAGAAAGCATAGAAAGTTAAAATTTTAAGAAATCGAAAGAAAGTTTTGAAAAAAGTTGAAATTTTGAAAAAATAAAATTAAAACTTTGAGAAAAGTAAGAAAACATAGAAACTCAAAATTTTAAGAAAAAGCCAAAATTTTGGAAAAAAAAGTTGAAATTTTGAAAAAATAAAGTCAAAATTTTGAGGAAAGAAAGTCAAAAATAATGCAGAAAACGTAAAAAGTCAAAATTTTAAGAAAACGAAAGGCAATATTTTGATAAAGTCAAAATTTTAAGAAAACGAAAGGCAATATTTTGATAAAGTCAAAATTTTGAGAAAAAATTAAAATTTTGATAAAAAGTCAGAATTTTAAGAAAAACTAAGATCGTTGAACGCCAAAATTTTAAGAAAACAAAAGCCAATTTTTTAAAAAAAGTCAAAATTTTAAAAAGCAAAAGAACGTATAAAGGGAAAATTTAAAAAAGTAAAAATTTTGAGGAAACGCATAAATTTGAGAAACAGTAAGAAAACGTAGAAATTCAAAATTTTGAGGAAACGAAAGCCTTTATTTGAAAAAAGTCAAAATTTTGAGACTAAAATTTAAATTTTCAGAAAAACTTAAAACTTTTAAGAAAATAAAGTTAACATTTTGAAAAAAGGTAAGAAAATATAGAAAGTCAAAATTTTAAGGAAGGGAAAGACAAAATTTTGGAAAAATAAAGTTAAAATTTCGAAGAAAGTCATAATTTTATAAAAAAAACGTATAAAATCAGAATTTTAAGCAAACGAAAGCCGTTATTTTCAGAAGAAAGTAAGAAAACGTAAAAAATCAAAATTTTGAGAAGGAAGTAAGAAAACTTAGAAAGTCAAAATTTTGAGAAGAAAGTAAGAAAACAGAGTAAAAATTTTGAGAAAACGAAAGCCAATTTTTAAAAAAAATGTCAAAATTTTGAAAAAAGTTAAAATCTTGAGAACCAGTCAAAATTTTGAGAAAATAGAGTTAAAATTTTGAGAAAAGTAAGGAAACAAAAAATAAAATTTTTAAAAATAAAGTCAAAATTTTGGAAAAAATTTAATTTTGAAAAATAAAGTGTAAACTTTTCGAGAAAAGTCATAATTTTATTTTGAGACAAAGAGAAAACGTAGAAAATCAGAATTTTAAGAAAACGAAAGGCAAATTTGGAAAAATAAGTCAACATTTTTAGAAAATATAGTCAAGATTTTAAGAAAGTAAGAAAACATAGAAAGTCAACATTTTGTGAAACCCAAAGTTAATATTTTGAGATAAAGAAAGCCAATATCAATATTTTTGAAAAAAAGTTAAAATTTTGAAAAAATAGTCAAAATATTGAGAAAATAAAATTAAATTTTGAGAGAAGTAAGAAAACATAGAAAGTCAAAATTGTATGTAAAGAAAGTCAAAATTTTGGAAAAATTAGAATTTTAAAAAAAACTAAGAGATCGTTAAACCAAAATTTTAAGAAAACAAAAGCAAATATTTAAAAAAAAGTGAAAATTTTGAGAAAACGTCCAAATTTTGAAAAAGTAAAAGAACGTATAAAGGGAAAATAAAAAAAAGTCAAAAAATTTGAGGAAAATTATAAATTTGAGAAACAGTAAGAAAACGTAGAAAAACAAAATTTTGAGGAAACGAAAGCCATTATTTAAAAAATCAAAATTTTGAGAATAGAAATAACATTTTCAGAAAAATTTCAAACTTTTAAGAAAATAAAGTTTACATTTTGAAAAAGTAAGAAAACAGAAATTCAAAAATTTAAGAAATGGAAAGACAAAATTTTGGAAAAAAAAAGTTAAAATTTTTGGGAAAACGAAAATCAACATTTTGAAAAAATGTAAAAATTTTGAAAAAGTTAAAATGTTGAGAAAAATCAAAATTTTGAGAAAATAGGTTATAATTTTAAGAAAAGTAAGGAAACATAAACAGTCAAAAGTTTGGAAAAAAAAATAAAATTTTGAAAAAATAAAGTCAAAATTTCGAGAAAAGTCATAATTTTATTTTGAGACAAAGAGAAAACGTAGAAAACCAAAATTTTAAGAAAACGAAATCCATTATTTAAAAAAGTCTGAGAAAAATAAACCTTTTGAGAAAAAAGTCAAAATTTTGATAAAACAAAATTAAAATTTTGAGAAAAGTAAGAAAACATAGAAAGTCAAAATTGTAAGAAAAGAAAGCCAACATTTTGTAAAAAATGCAAAATTTTAAGGAAACAAATGTCATTATTTTGAAAAGGTCAACATTTTTTTAAAAAAAAATTTAAATTTGAGATAAAAGCAAGAAAATGTAAAATTTTGAAAAAACGAAAGCTAATATCTTTAAATGGCAACATTTTGAGAAAGTAAAGTCAAAGTTTTCAGAAAAGATTTAAAATTTTGAAGAATCTGCGGAATGTTTTATGGTTACACTTAAAAATATCAACAAGAATAAAAAACTGATTCATTCTTTGATTTTGAATTTTGATATTTATCCTTTCTCCAGCCTCTTTGATTTAGAACTTGAGATGTGCTATGCTTTTTGAATCTCTGTCTTTACTATGCTCTTTAATTTAACATTTAAATAAACTGTTATAATTTATCTAGCTGCTGAAAACCTGAATCGTCATTGATAAATGCAAATTAATTTGAAAAATGAACGAAGAAAAATTGAAACGACTTTTATTATTATATCAGGCTAGTCCAGCACTGGGTGCCAAACTGATCAATTAATTAAAAATTAAATAATGAGGTCTCTAAATATTTCAATCTAATCAAAATACAATTATTATTCAAATAAAACAAGAATAACAGCGAGCCGGCTTTGCCCCTAACTCAATCAAAAGTTCTGAGGACAGTAAATATGCAAAATATCCATAATAAATAACATAGGAAAGCTCTCTCGCTACCAGAAAGTTCGATAGGGATACAAATAAATAGAACAAGAGAAGCATTTTGGCCGCTGCTAAAATGAGAATTACTTTCTTATGCAACATGAGGCAGTTATGCCAATAAATATAAAACTCCAAGTCTTGATACATCATACAATGGAATTTAAGTAAATAATTTTCTGACCAAGTCACATGTTACTACTTGTAAATTTAGTAGTAACCGCCGTTGTTGCTCTTTGAGATATCTAGTGATACATTTGAACAGTTAATTTTTGTTATTAAATAGTTTAAAGTAAAATGTTAAATTTGAATTGTCACACCACCATCAGAATTTAGGACAAACTAAGAGTGTGATTATGGGAATCATATTACAACTAGGTAATTTTAATTAATGTAAATACAGTCTACCAGATTGGCTAACATTTTAAACAATCTTTATGATATCCAAATCCCTTTATTAGACATAGAAAACGTTTTTTAAGTGCTTATACCTAATAACCATTGAAAATAATATAAAATCCAACATTCACAGCTCTTCAAGTTGAACACATTTCTAATTAACCCACCTTTCTTCGTTTTCCAGCGCCTCCACAGTAATCTTCTTTAGATAGATCCTAGGCGTCGCCAGTATCCTCCACGTTAAAGGATTAAACAAACTACTGTTGTACCTCCACTCTAATTCCACGGCTCTCAAATGTGGCACCGAGTCGGTAGCCACCACCGCCATGTAAAGACCTCCGGGTTCGTGAAACCCGCTCACGAATCCCACGGGATTTGTTTTATGACCTCTACCGTCGGTGGTACCGTGCATTGTGAAATACAACTGACCAATTTCGCCTCCATGAATTTTCGACATGTTTGAACTTGACACTTGTACTACTATTCTGTAATGGTGCTCTGAAATAATGAAAATATCGTTCAAGAAAATATTACAGAAAATTTGGAGATCACAATTACATGACGTCAACATAAAAGTACTTACTGCAAAATGGTTTGAATTCGCCAGTAATCAAATACTGAATTCTACTCGTGTGCCTCCATTTGTTGCCCAAATGCTTTTCGTAATATTTCCTACCATTAAATCCGAACGGTAGACAATTTTCTCTTGATTTTCCGCACCCGAAACATTTTCCACTGGTAAAGTCCTAAAAAAAATTAATATACCGCATTTTTGCACACATAAAACATGAATTATCGGGATTATATAAAGATATTACAAACCTGAAATGATGGACAAGATACTGTAACGAATTTACATTTTGGATTCGGCGTGATGCTCTCTAAAAAGTACTCGTGGCTTCTTATATGATTACACGACAAATATTTTTTCACTCCTGGAAGAAAAAACATAATATACTCATGTAACTCATTTATTACTCATATGAGTCATTAATTTTTTATGTAACTCATTAATTACTTCTGTAATTTAATAATTGCTCATGTAACTCATTCTTTACTTATCAAACTTATTTACTCATTTAAATAATTATTTACTCATTAAATTCATTGATTACTCATGAATTATGTCGACTCCTATACATGGCCCTTATGGAAGAATGCTGACATTGTAAAACTCTTTGTTCTGATATATTCATTTTTATCTTATTTTGCATTTTTTATTGTTAGACGTTTTTATTTTCTTTTAGAGTAGTCAGTCAGTTGCTAGATTCCATATTGTTAAGTTGTAATTAAAAGTATAATTGTTGTATTAAGTAATAAAAGTATTTTTTAAAAAACGAACTTTGAGTTAGTAGGAGTTAATTGGCGCAGTCAGTAGGATATCGGGATTGATTTGTATCGAACATATCGATTTTCGTTTCTACGATTTACCGTATATCGAACTTAAGTGACTTTCGTTTTGTGACATTGTTCCGGAGTGGCTCCTTGAACTTCAGGAAACCCAGTCTATCGCAGACCCGACAAGAATAGTGGATCCAAAGCGGAAGAGAGAATTGAAACCCAAATAGTTCAATTCTGCAGAGATATTTTCTGGGAACGACAAAAATTGCTGACCTGGATTTATTTCTATAGAGGGATGCTCAAAGTTATATTTTTATTGTAAGTACATTTCACATGTCCGTAATTGACGATTTGTCAAATATTCTTTCTAATTTATATTTAGACCCTTCAACTGACTCGAATCTCGAAAATAATTTAGAAATAATAATGCCTGATTTTAAACCAGAATACTTAACTTGTGTACCCAACTTTGACGGTAACCCGAATGAATTAAATAGATATTTATCCGTATGCTCATCTTTGATTGATAATTTTTATAATATTGCTCAGCCAAATTGTTTTCAAAATGTTTATCTGTTAAATTGTTTAATTTCAAAATTAAGTGGCAATGCCAAATTAGTAGTAAATATACAAAATGTTTCAACTTGGAACGATTTAAAATCAGTATTAACTAGAAACTTTGCAGATCAGAGAGATGAATCTTGTTTAAATAGGGATCTTGTTATGATGAAACAAGGAGCTACTGAAAAACCACAACAATTTTATGATAGAGTTTTAAACATCCTAAATCTTTTGTGCAGTTATGTTGATGCTCACGAACACATCCTTGCATCTAAAGCATTAAAACGCGATTTATATAACGATTTAGCTTTAAATACCTTTTTAACTGGTTTAAGGGAACCTTTAGGGACAACAATTAGATGTATGAAACCTACTTCATTAAGTGAAGCTTTGCAATATGTTCTAAAAGAAGACAATGTTCATTATTACCAAAATTTCGGCAATAAAAATAATTTAAATAATGTACGAATTCAACAAAATAGACCATCTGTTTCACCACAAATTCAAAGACAAAATTTTAACCCTAATTTAGCATCTTTTAATTCAAATACGTCGAATAACTTTCCCAACAGACAAATTGCTTTTCCGTCGCAACCTGTCCCAATTCAATCCCAACAACCAAGGCAACCGCAAAGATTTTTCACTAACGCACAAGTTTTTGGAAAACCTCAGCAAAATCAAAATGTTTTTAAACCTAATAAAAACTGTAAATTTAACACATAAAACAGTATCTACAGAACAACGCGAGAAAGTTAGCATGGATAACTTAAAACGCCCACGGAAAAAACCGTATAAATTTAAAAAATAATTTATATTTTTTCAGATTTGCTGGAACTTTCGGACTCCAGGATAAAATAGTAATTCAAAATCTATCTGACAACCCAGGATTATTACCCTTTAAGATAGGAACAGCTAAAATAGAAATTTATTCCCATTCTCTCATTCACTATTACGATTTAAATCCTATAATAATTGAAGTAAATAAATTAAAAGAACAAAGTGACAGTATTAGAATGTTGATAAGCACAGATACAAATTATAGTAACGATTTATTAAACTATTTTAAGTTATTAAATTTTACAGAAAATAAAGTGATGAATAAGTTAATAGAGATCGTGCCATCTCAAAATAGGAAAAAACGAGGTATAATTAATGGTCTAGGATCCATTTTCAAATCGATTACAGGTAATTTAGATGCCAATGATGGGGAACGATTTGAAACTCTTATCAAAGAACTGCAAAATAATCAAATTAATTAAGCTACAAATATTAAGGAACAAAATTCGGTGTCATTTGCATTAATTGAAAAATTTAATAAAACGATTCAACAGATAACAAATAATGAGCATATATTAACTTCTCGAATTAAAATAATAGAATCCTTAATGAATGAAGAAATCACCCTTTCTCGTTTTAATTACATTAAAGACAGTATTGTACAAATAATAAATATTTTTGAAATCACTAATTCTATTCTACAGGATATAGAAAATTCAATTTCCTTTGCTAAAATTCAAGTTATGCACCCTAGTATAATCAAAACAATCGATTTATATAATCAATTAAAATTATTAGAAAAATACTTAAACAAAAATGAACTTCCTCTGGAAATTAATTTAAATAATGTGTTGTTATTCGAAAAATTAATAAAAATTGACTGTTTTATTTTTAATAATAAAATAACATTTATTTTAAAAATCCCTGTCGTTCAATCTGAAAATTTTAATTTATATCATTTATTCGCGGTACCTATTTGGGAAAAGAGTCAGTTTAAGGTCATAATACCTAGAAAGAAATTTTTGGTTAAAAACAAATCCAAATTCGCTTTCACGAGCAATCCATGTACAGAAATAATCCCTCGGCAATTTGTCTGCCCGAGAATTGATCTGCTTGAAATTGAAGAAGACGGCCCCTGTGAAATACAATTGTTGGAAATGAAAATTACTTCCACCTGTGAAAAAACGTCAATTCGCCTATCAAAGCCACTATTAAAGCAATTAGCCAACTCTAATCATTGGATATACACTGTGCCTTATCAAGACACAGCATATCTTAAATGTCCATCAAACGAAGAAACGAAATATTTCACCACTGGGACTTATTTAGTAGAAATTCCAAAGGGATGTCAATTAACCACACATATGGGGACTATAAGTAACCAGAAATCATCAACAACTTTTGGCCAACCAGTGTTAATACTAGATTTGGATAATAGCACAATCCAATCCACTTCAAGCAATTTTAATTTTCACTTAGAAAATATTGAACTAGATGATCTACAAGCCATAAAGTCACAAATTACTCATAACCAACCCAACTTATCATTTGAGAAGGTATTGATGGTTCCCAGTCTTTGGACCTTAATAATTTACGGGACTCTTGTATTCCTGGTGATGTTCTTCGTATACAAGAAACTGATGCCCAAAATATGCAGACATAAGAAATTGACCCAGTCTCCAATAGATCCGACAGCTGTTCAACTTCCTTCATCCTAACTTCAGAAGTTGAAACTCAGGGGGGAGGAATTATGTCGACTCCTATACATGGCCCTTATGGAAGAATGCTGACATTGTAAAACTCTTTGTTCTGATATATTCATTTTTATCTTATTTTGCATTTTTTATTGTTAGACGTTTTTATTTTCTTTTAGAGTAGTCAGTCAGTTGCTAGATTCCATATTGTTAAGTTGTAATTAAAAGTATAATTGTTGTATTAAGTAATAAAAGTATTTTTTAAAAAACGAACTTTGAGTTAGTAGGAGTTAATTCATGCAACTAATTAGTTATTTATGTACGTTATTATTTAATCATTTAAATCGTTAATTGATCCAGCAAACAGTAATTACTTTTGTATGAGTAACTCATTAATTACTTCGTAATTTATTATTTATATTATTTACTCTTGTAAATCATTATTTACTCGTTTAAGTTATTAATTACTCCTGTACCTCATTAATTACTCTTACAGCACATACATTACTCATGTAACTCATTACCTACTCCGATAATTTATTATTTAATCATTTAAATAATTCATTACTCATATAATCCCTTAAGTAGTCCTGTATCTCGTTAATTACTCGTGCAGCTCATTAATTACTCATGTAACTGATTAATTATTAATATAAGTGATTTAACTCATTATTTAAATATATTACTTGTTTTTTTACTAATTTAAAACATTAATTACTTATATAACTCGTTAATTACTCATGTAATTAATTAATTACTTAAGAAAGTTATTATATATTTATTATATATACTAATAAACATGGTAGGTTTTTATTAATATCGTTTTCTCTTTTTTTGACATGCATTGGTTTGGTTTACAATAAATACTAACGTCAATTTTTTAGTCCAGTCCTTACAATAAAATTTTTGATTCAAAATTTCTAATATAACATTTATTTCTAATTTACAAACCAATGACTTTGGGCTATAAGTATTACATACATTTTGTAATTTCTATTATTGGGAATTCAAAAATAAAGAGAAAAATATGTTGTTCTGTTAAAAAAAATCGATGACGTCATACAAACGAAAGTAGTGACGTCATTAGTACATTTAGTTGTAGCGTAAAAGGCGCAGATGAAAAAAAAATTGTTCTGTAAAAGAATTTTGTTAAAATATTGTTAAAAAGAAAAATATTGAATTTATTTCAACCTATGTCTTTTTACTGTATAAACTTCTATAAATATAGTTTATTATTATTTATTCGTAAATCATTAATTACTCATGTAACTCATTAATTACTGCAACAACTCATTAATTACTCATGTAACTTTTTATTTGCTCATTTAAATCATTTATTACTCATGTAACTTATTAATTACTCATGCACTCATTCATTATTCATGTTTCATTGATTTCTCATGCAACTCATTAATTACTTATTAGTCGTGTGCCTTATTACTCGTATAAAAACAGAACTTACCATTAAAAAAGCTTCCGTTGGCATCTTTAATGTACTGAAATACTCCTTTGGTACAACCAGGCTGGTCAGTGCCTCCGTTTGGATAGTAGTCAACGTGACCGATACTTTCTACTATACCAAGTCCTCCTCTGATGAACTGGCTGGAATCCGTATGGATAATATCTACGTATTTAGCTGCGGAACGGTCTAAACGTACTGGTGGCTTAACCTTGGAGAAATGTGGCTCAGCAGGATCCAAACCAGTTATGCGACCAATCGTTATGTTGAATTTCTGATAGAAACGACAGTTAGTATTAAATGGGTGAAAGTAATAGAAAAGGCTCACCTGTTGAAGTGTGTATCCAATGTACCCGCAAAGATGAGCTCCCAGTGAATGCCCAATTGCGTGGGCATGATCTAATTTCAAACTCCCTGTGTAATTTGATATTCGGTGTAGTAGATGAGCTGTAATAGCTCCGACTAGTCTTATATTTGCTACTGCTTGAGTGTACGGGGGCCCGGATCCTCTGGACCAGTCGATTATTATCACGTTGCAATCTTCTTGGAGCAACAATGTCCTCGCTATATTATTAATCTAGAAAAAATATACAGTTTAAATTTTTTTTGGTACTTTCCCTAGAGCTGCAAATTGATGTAACGCCCTAATTCTAGTTCCTGTAAGTTGGTAGCTCAAAAACCCAGTGGACGAGGCCAATGTGTATCAAAGAAGAAGAGTGCGGGAGATATGTCATTCGCCTGTAACTTACCCATGCTATACCACCGCCTTCCATGTATCCATGGGTGACTAGATAAATTGGTTTTTTGGGATTTAATGAAGTCAGCTCCAAGTTAAAATTTGACAGTTCAACTACAACGGGGCTACTTCCTCTTGTTTGTAGTATGTATTGTGGTTCGATCTGTAAAATAATGTTCATATTCACTCAAAAAAACAAATCTTTAAAACACAAAACTAATATTTTTGCAATATTCTGAGAGTATGTTCGTTTAGTAGAAAGATTTGTATTTATCAAAAATCATTCTAGTTAAAGAAAATCTTTAAAACAGTACATCTTTTATTACCTATTTACATATATTGTAAACAGTAGAGGACCTAAAACTGATCCTTGAGGAACATCAAATGATATTTTGTATATTTTACTGATTATAATAGTAATAACGATTATATTTCACTGTTAAACAATAATAAATTCAGTAAAACGTTTCTTACCTTGTCCAAATCTTCAGGGAACAGCGATACTGGTCTGTGGTCCGAGGTCCATGGATAATTTAGATCGAAACAGCCGAAAACTTGATCGTTCTTCGCGTAACATCTTGTAGTATTAGATTCTATAAAATTATCTTGAAATAAATCATAAATATTATCAAGCTTTTTCCAATAAAAATGATAGCTATATTTAGATGTTTATTTTTTAAATTTTTATCTTATTTATTTATGTCATCTATAATCAACAAGCGATATTTTTTATTTAACGCCAAATTATTGGATTGATTGGTAAGTAGTGGTAGTGAGAAAGCATGTATGTTGACAGTTTAATCTTTAATACTATACAGGGTGATTCATTGGTTAATATTGAGTAATATAATAAGGTTGAATAATGTTCATCGATGTGGTTTTAAATAGGTTCTATAGCTATTTACATCCTTTTTAAGTAAGATACAGAGGTTGTTTTATCGATTTTGTCAAATTCTTTGTCGTCGTAGCTCATATGAAGCAACTTGTACATTTTCTTAATAAATTAAGAACATTTTTCAATAGATTTATTGATTGAAATGTTGAAAAAATATTTTAATATGTACTTTCTAATTAATTGAGAGTAGTTAATAAAGAATAGTTCAAATAATTCGTTCATAAATTCAGCCAGATTGATACTAACTAGAAATTATTTATTAGTTTTTAGAGAGTAGTTCAAATGTACCCTTCATAAATTGATCATACACGCTTAATATTCACTATAAATTATGTCTCATTAATTTTTTCGATACAACTTTCTAATGAGTTTTTGGAGAGTAGTTCAAATGTACCATTCTCAAATATTCACTAGAAATGAACTCTGAGTAATTTTTCAAGATATGCGAACGTTTTCTAGCTAGTTTTTAAAGAGTAGTTCAAATGTACCCTTCATAAGTTGATCATATACGCTTAATATTCACTAGAAATTACATCTGACTAATTTTTTCGATACATCTAACAACTTTCTAATAAGTTTTTAGAGAGTAGTTCAAATGTACCATTTTCAAATATTTACTAGAAATGTTATCTGAGTAATTTTTTAAGAGATGCGAACCTTTCCTAGCTAGTTTTTAAAGAGTAGTTCAAATGTACCCTTCATAAATTGATCATACACGCTTAATATTCACTAGAAATTATGTCTGATTAATTTTTTCGATACATCTAACAGTTTTCTAATACATTTTTAGAGAGTAGTTTAAATGTACCATTCTCAAATATTCACTAGAAATGATCTCTAAGTAATTTTTTAAAAAATTCGAAGGTTTTCTAGCTAGTTTTTAAAGAGTAGTTCAAATGTACCCTGCATAAATTGATCATACACGCTTAATATTCACTAAAAATTATGTCTGATTAATTTTTTCAATATATCTAACAGCTTTCTAATAAGTTTTTAGAGATTAGTTCAAATGTACCATTTTCAAATATTCACTAGAAATGATCTCTGAGCAATTTTTAAGAGAAGCGACCGTTTTCTAGTTAGTTTTTAAAGAGTAGTTCAAATAACCCTTTCATAAATTGATCATACACGCTTAATATTCACTAGAAATGATGTCTGATTAATTTTTTCGATACATCTAACAACTTTCTAATAAGTTTTTAGAGAGTAGTTCAAATATACCATGTTCAAATATTCACTAGAAATGATCTCTGAGTAATTTTTCAAGAGATGCGAACGTTTTCTAGTTAGTTTTTAAAGAGTAGTTCAAATGTGCCCTTCATAAATTGATTATACACGATTAATATTCACTAGGTTAAAAATATCTTCTGATAAGTTTTTGGAGTGTATTTCAAATGTATCATTCATAAATTCAATCATATTCACTAAAATTCTGTCGGAGTAATTTTTTTAGATGTCATACAACTTATACACGTTCAATATTAACTGAAAAGGCTCACTCTGTATTTAACATTTAAACGCTTTCTGATAACTTTTAAAGAGTAGTTCAAATGTACCATTCGTAAAATCAGCTAGACGTGCTTGATACTCGCTAGAAATTAATTGTTTGAAATATCTAAACATTTTCTAGTAAGTTTTTAGCTAGTAGTTCAAATGTATCATTCATAAAAACCACCCACTAGAAATGATTAATTTTTTTGATATATTTAATAAATTTTTAAAGTAGTTAAAATGTATCATTCTCAAATACTCACTAGAACTTATTTCAGAATTTTGAATCGAAAGTCAGCATACCATTAGTATGTGTATCGTGAATTTCGATATGTTTATGTCAGTTTTTCTTGGCAGTTCATAAATTTCTCTTCTATGGTAGGGAATTACTTTGTATGGAACTGAATTGTTTTCTATTGTTGACACTGTTCTTTGAGCCAATTTTTGAAAAACATTTTTGTTCTTAGGCATAGAGGTTCCATCAATTACAGAACAATCGTATACACACATTTTAATTTAAACCCATTAAAAATATCAAAAAACTAACAGCACACAAGCACAGCATGTTAAACTCTTATAATAAAACTTCAAAAATGAACATCACACAAGGAAAATCCTTTTGGCTATTCTTCAAAATCTCCAAAAATAAATGGGGTAATATTAAACTCTTCACTCAGTAGTCTGTGAAGAGTACAATAGGTTTACTTTCAAGAAAAAGACATTCTTAATATTGGTTCAATTTTAAAAATATCTTTATAATTTAATATGAAACCCTATTAAAAAATATTCCCTAATCAAAAATGCCGTTTGCTATGTGCCACACTCTACGTTTAAATCATATGCAAAAAGTGTGAAAATTGGTCGAGTTAGTAGCATACCAGTGTAAATGTATAGTGGGCAGGAAGATAAATCGGTAGGACGATCTGTGGACTTACTTTGTAGATTGCAAATCTTCGTTTTAATAAAAATATATTAAGTTCTCTTCAATTCCAATATTCATTTATTTTATAATAAATGATAAGACTTGTGTTGTTCCTGTACCCTTACGAGCCCCCGTTGTATAAGATATACATCTTCCCCTACCCTAGGGCCGAAAATAAATGCAATTTTCAAGACAATAATAATGACATTCCTGCTAGTTTATTTCTAGTGTATTTTGAATCACTTCATTTTTTTGTATATACAGGATGTTTGTAAATAATATAAATAAGATTTTAGGGAGTTGTTGATGAAGTTATTTATTTAAAAAAAAGTTCCTTCAAACGTAGGAAGAAATATCTTCGATTTGTTAGATACGAAGAGTGTTTAAATTTTAAGGATATTGACTCGAAATTATTATTTATTATTATTTATTATTGTTGTTTTATTATTATTATTATTTATTATTATTATGTTTACGGACAACATTGCATGTTCCCAAGATCCCCGCTTTCTGTAATTCTGTATATTTGTATGTATCTATCAATCAATTATTTTGTTTTGGCCCATGATCCAGATTCAATTTTTGCCCTTGCATGCCTTATGTACAGTCCACTTTAAAATTTTAACTGTAAAAAAGGATAAAAATTTTCAGGATTCGTGTTGGATATTATGTAGATATTTAAACCCTTGTGAACAACTTTAGAAGTTTTTAAAATATTTGTTAAGTTATTGTTACAAAAAATGATTAAAATACCTTGTCCAATTTGCATATAATAATAATTATAAGAATTGTCCTGGGCACCTCCAGCTCCAGACTGGTTCAGCAAAAAGAAGATGGCGTGTAAAAAAATGCCCGCGTTCTTGCAGAATGTAACCATGATATTTTCGCGCGCGAAATTTCACAAGCGAGTTTTTGACATTCCCGGCGACGAATGACCCGATCAGAAACAGAAATTGACAAAAATATCGGAACGAAATGCTCGGCGATGTTATCAAGGGGTCCAAAGTGCGAAGGTCACAGAGATCGCTGTAGCAATTTTCAAAATAAAACAAAACTTGACGGACGGACGAAGACGTACACATAAATTTTATCAACCCTCTTAGATATATAGGGCGATTCATTAGTATTGTCAATTTAGCTCCATGAAAGGATATTTCTTTTTTCACTTAAAATGAACAGGGAAATTATAAAATAAAAAAATTGTTTACTAACCCTGATAGCGCGCCGCTGGTTAAATTTATCAAATGTTAGTCTATGATGTCAAAATATTACTTTCTTAAAGTGCATATTGGTCACCAAATTTGAAATATTTGAAAGCGTTTTTGATTTCATTTCAAAATTCATGAATTAACGAGAGCTCTCTTGTGTAGAACGTTGTCGGTCAAATATAGTGACACCCTGTACCGAGATATTTATATATTTATCAACTTGCTAGCTTAGTTTCGATTCAATGGGAAAAGTATACCCACTAAGGATTCAGAATCTTAATTCAAGAGAGTCGCTAAGTCTCTCGAATCTTAAATGTTAATTGCTGTGCCATTTAAAGGACTTGCATGATGTATCAAATATTATGGTGTTGTTATAGAAAGACCCTACATACTAGAAAATTATCTTCTGGAAGCCAGAAGTATCCGATAAATATAATATAACAATGTCAGTTTCATTTAAGAAGTCCAGTTAAATTACAATACTTTGAAGCACTAAGCAATCGCAATCGTAGAGTTTTGCTGAAGAGTAAACCAATACGTAGTAATTAGTCTACATTTTCTTTTCTAAGAATTTTTTTTTTGGGTGTCACGCTTGCTTGATACTTGCTGATTTATTATTTCTCTTACACAGTGTTGTACGGCTATTATTTCAGCCTGGAACAGTGTTGCATATTCTCTTAGACTCAGCGAAATTGTTGTTTTCGATTTGTGTCCAAAAATTCCAGCACCGACTCAGTCAGATAATCCTCACTTTTTTCACACTGATGTATGACATTTCTCATGAAAATCTTGAGTTTGAAAATAGCACCCTTGGAATATGTTTGATCATGATCACACGATGTCGCCTATCTGGGATCTCTGGTAGCTAGCTGGGAACTGGAGCTTACTGAAGCCAATACAGTATAAGGAAAGTACGGAAGTACTAGAGGAAGTATGGCTGCTCTTGGAGATAATACTACTCCTATACTAGAACAAAATATTGGAGAAGGTGAGTTATATGCATGATCAACACTGTTGTCTATGACTGGCATAATATTTACATATTTTAACAATAAACAAAACAAAATTATAAACATAAATGATTATTACTACAAAAATAGATAACCAACCTACTTTCATCTAATATTATTTACTATTACAGCATTTAATTTGCCAATAGTTTTTATACGCCACTGGCGTAATACATTTTGGCAATAAACATTCATTTATGACTAGTTGGCACGTGATACCGATAACTTCTGCAGTTTTTAGCGCGTGATTCCATTCATTATGCTCTGGTATAGTATGATTGTTATACTTGAACAGAGAGGAATCACCTTCTTCAATATTTTGTCCGAGTATAGAAATGCTACTGCTCTCTTGGAGATACTACTGCTCCTGAGTATTTTACGAAGAAACTACGCGTATAGTCACTGGGAGACATTCGGATGTACTTTGAGTTGCCTAAAAATACTTGCATACAGATATAAGCACACAGACAGTTGCTTAGCTCAGGATCTCGTCGAAAGACAGGCGATCCAATTTAAAATTCCTACTCTGGCTTGAATACCGCGACCGTGAGATCGTTTTACGAATCCTGATGAAATAAAACAATGTGAGGAGCCTCGGAGATATTAAAAAATTAATTAATTAAAACATAAAATTAATTTCTAGTATTGAAAGATAAAAAGGTTGAAACATAGCAGGAGGGAGAGTTGAGCAGAAGGGTGAATACGAGGAGTAAGCAGAGAAGAACAGTAAGAGGAGGTTAGGCAGAGGTCATAACAGGAGGTAGACAAGTTGGAACCAGCTTTACTAAGAGAAAGAAGACCGGAAGAATGTTGTTATTCTTTTGTTTAACTCACATAGTTTTAAATTTAAATTTAGTTACTCATATTTGTTTGTGAAATTTTTGTAAGAAGCCAGAGGAGTCACAATCCTAAAGTCATCATCATTTACCTACTGCCTTACACAATGGCGGCTCCGGGGGGAAGGGAGGGGGGAATAGGGGCAGATGAAAATTCTTACGATTCATGAACCATTTATTAAAAAAATATGCTAAAAAGGGAATGGCTAAAGGCAATGCCCCCCCCCCCTCGGAAAATTCGTCTTGAAGCCGTCTTTGGCCTAACATGTATCGAATCCAAAAACTCTACTTTCTTAAACAGTGGAAATTTTAAAAGTGACCTCCACACTTTCGGTTACATTGCAAATATGTTATTAAATAAAAATAGTTTGTAGACTTTACATTTGAAACACATGTACTTATTATTTTTCCTTTCTTTTTAACCAAAAACATCAACAATTTCAATGTTGGATCCGGTTCAATTTCCAAACTGATAAAATTAGAGAGAATCCAAAATTATATACCAAGTATTTTTGAATAATAAAAATCTTTTGATTACGACAATGTATGCAAAGCATTATCAATAATAACAATACAAAAAATGTATATTACAGATATACTGCGAAATATTTATTTTTATAGAAATTAGGTCTATATGTTCTAAATACCCGGTAATGTTTACAACTTTAAGAGGGGTTTTTTATCGTCAATATAACTCTGAGAATAATATTTTTAAATTTAATATAGAACGGTAAGATCGTTATTGTTTTTAAACTACAAATTTTTTTAATTACATTTTTTGTTTCTATTTTTAAGCAATATTTTTTGACGTAATTTTTATAGCTAAATGTGTTTTGTCAATGACTAATTTTGGAGAGCAAACTTGGATGGATGCAAAAATAATAGTAAAAGAACTTGTAAGCTTAAAAAATTGAATAATATTAAGACATTTTGTACAGAGTATTAATAGACTGCGACCTAAAAGATCTATTGTAGCCCCCTTTGGCACTAATGTAGCAAAAAAATAGTCTCTACGTGCTAAATTACATTCAACAAGTTACATTGCTTGTTACGCTCAATATACACTAAGCTTTCATTCTCGATTTTTTACTACTTCTGGAGACGTCTCTGTAAGCGTCACTGTCTTGGCCGATAAGGAAGGTTTCCCAACAAATAACTACGTCACAGTCATCATTTACTTCTTTTATTGGTTACGCCATAGGCGTCATCCACTTACATTTGTTAGCGCTACAGGTGTTATGCACTTCTTATTGGTCAACGTCAAGCGTGACTCAAGCTCGCTTGACGACTTCTCTCCCACGCAGAATTAGAGCATCAGAAACAGTCAAATACAACCAATCGTTTTGCGATTGTAAAAAGGCGATGCTTTGTCCGCCATCATGCGACATAACTTTTATATATTCTGTGGCATTTTGGAGACATGATAACTTCAAAAAAACGGATCTTTATTATTTCCACTAAAATAAATATTTATTTATACATTTTAATTTGCTAGTAAATCTGTTATAGTTTGATAAAATATCGATAAGTCCACTTTATTAAATTTTTGTTTGGTGTAATCTTGTTAAAATATTATATCATGTGAATATCATATCTCCCAAAAGCCACAGAATATTAACATGGCTTCAGTATCAAATTTCCTGAAAAAATACTGTAAATAAAGAAAAAAGTATTTAAGTGTAGTGATAGATCAAATCATTCCATCAGTGTTTAAAATAAAGTATTGAATCAAAAGATGATCTTTTAATCTAATTCTAAATCTCCCAGACCTACGGATCGCACGGGTATTTTCAAACTTTATTATCAATACAGTTCATGATTTTGTCAAAGGCCGAATATCGGTCTTAGCTTGTCTCCTTGAGATGACAAATGTATCACTATAGCATAACATATATGACGTCAACATGCTGCATAAACAACGGCGTATTTTTAATATGCCTTTGACCATAGATAAAAGCGTCTGGCAGTGGTGGGTTCGAGTCGTCGTATGTGGGCAACAGTGACACAAATGAGTAGGTATCAAAGCTTTGTTGAAGCATTAGTGGCATATTTTGAGTTATGCTAGGTAAAGTAGGTACAGGACTCAGAAAACTACCTTGTGGTACTCTTTTAATTCAGAATATGCTTCGTCCTGTTTAATTCTTAAGTATATTTTTGTTAAATATGATTTTAATAGGTCTGAATATTAGAAATAGCGTTTCCAGCTTGTGGAACTCCTTCATGCCATACTTTATCAAAAGCTTGTGCAACATCCAGTAAAATTGCTGAGGAAACTTTATTTTCTTTTAACGATTTTTCAATAGCGAATGTAGTTCTGTACACTTGGTCTACTGTAGAATGGCTTTGTCTAAAGCCAAATTGATGAGAAGGAATTAAGTTCTTTCCTATTATTGGTTTCAATCTTTTAAGGAGGAATTTTTCATATAATTTCAATATTACAGAAAGTAAAGAAATTGGTCTGCATGATGAAATTTCATTAGGTGATTTGCTTGATTTTGTAGTCATCATGATTTCTGCTATTTTCCAGAGCTTACGACATAAAACTCTGAATAGCTGTCACTTGACGCCGTCAAAGAAATGTTGTAGGTATGTCTTAGGTTTTCAAACTTAAACTAGAATAATATTTATTATATAAAAATATTTAAATAAAAATCTTAAATGATTGTAATGAATAAAAAACTTATATTCATGCTTAGAATTCTTTAATTTCATTCTTTTTGTAGATTATATTTTTTTTTCTCTCCTGGGCTCGTCTGACTATGTGTCTCCGAATAACACTGAAGCCTATTGGCTTATTGTGTTTTACCCCATGTTAGTTCATAGCACCCACTCTATCACCTTTGTACCTTGTACAAGTTTGTACA